AATAAAAGAGCATGCTAGTTAAAAATGCAGAAGGTGTGAGCTTACGGTTACTTTTTTTTTCAGATTTACACCATGGAAACCTCAGTGTTGTTTTATTTAATTGGATATTGAATTTGTGCATTTGGTTTCAATGACAAAGATGTCAGGCATCAGTTACCTGCAGTAAAAAGTGCTCAGCACGTGCTCAATAAATTAAAAAAAAACTTCTATAGATTCAAGATCAAACTCTGAATATTGGACTGGTCATGTTCAACTTTTATGCATATTTTCTGCTTGATTTTTTAAGTTATAATACTTTGTGAATATTACTGTATTATTTGATTTACTTAAATCGGAATCGTGGTAAATTTAAATAATTTTGGGTACATGTACTCCCTTTAGCATAAATAGGTGAAGTTTTAGGGGATTGTATGTGTTCCCTGAGTTGTCCTTAGTCCAGTCTAAAAGGTTCATCAAAACACTAAAGAACATCAACAGAGCTGATGTTTGTCAAAATATTAGCACTAAGTAATCCACACAATAGTGGAAGTTCATCATGGTCAGACCCTGTCTTCCTCCATAAAATGGAACATTGTAAGATTATCAATCATCGTAAGACTATCAATTTCTTCACATTAATAAAAGACCTTTTGGCCTATCAAGGTTAGGCTTTCTCCACAACATTGACGATGCAGAGACTACCTTGTAGAAATGGTAGGTACTGTATAAAATTAATCAGGGCAGGAGAGGTTCCATCACCTGAAGATTGAGAGAACTTTTCTTGATTTTATTCCTTTTAAGGAAATCTCTCACACAATGAGAATGTGGAATTAGTTTTTGAGGGATTACACATGCAAAATTGACTTTTAAAAATTAGTTTGTGGGATCTGTGCTAGAACAGCACTTATTGCCAATCTCTACTTGTCCTCAAGAAAGTGATGGTGAGCGGCCTTCTTGAACTGCTGGTTTAGGTTTTGCATTTAGTTTAGGGAGCCTTACAATGCTGTTAGGGAGGGTGTTCCAGAATTCTGACCCAGCAATACTGAAGGTATGGCATTATAGTTCCAAGTCAGGATGGTGAGAGGCTTGGTTGGGAACTTCCAGGTGGTGGCATTCCCATGTGTCTGCTACCTCTAGACTGTAGAGGACATAGGTTTGGAAGGTGTTGTCTAAGGAGCTGTTGGGGAGACAGAAGGTGAGTTGCTTGCTGAAACATTCCTAGCCTCTGACATGCTCTTGTAGCCATAGTATTTATATAGCTAGCTCAGTTTAATTTCTGCTCAATGGTAACCTTCAGCATGTTGATAGTGGAGATGCAGCAGTTGCAGCATTTAATACCATTGAATGTTAAGGGTTGATGGTTAGATTCTCTTTCACTGGAAATGGTCAATGCCTGGCAAATATGTGGTGCAAATATAATTTGTCAGCTCAAACCAGGGTATTGTCTAGGTCTTGTTGCATTTGAATATATACTGCTTCAGTATCTGATGAGTCGTGAATGTAACTAAACGTGCAATCATCAGGGAACATCCCCACTTCTGGTCTTATGATCAAACAAAGGTAATTGATGAAACAGCTGAAAATGGTTAGGCCTAGGACACCACCCTAAGCAACTCCTGCAGAGGTGTCCTGGAGCTGACATGACTGACCTCCAAAAACCACAGCCACCTTCCTTTGTGCCAGGTATGACTCCATCAAATGGAGATTTTAAAGCAGAGATAAAAAAAAGACTTAGGTAAAATTGCCATAGTCCCAGAGGACCATAGGACTGCTCTCTCATTAGTGAGAGAGAGATGACTGGTGGTGAGTTTAATCTCAGGTCAGAAATGAGGCTGAGTAGTGGAAATTCATGGTGATCTCAGATGGTACAGGAACCGAACCTGCACTGTTGGTGTCATTCTGCTTCACAAACCTGCCATTCAGCCAACTGAGGAAGATGGAAGGAAGTGTGATATCAAAGATGGCTAACAAAATGGCAGAGCAAGTTTATATATCTATTCCAAACTCCTAAAAAAAGTTCCAAATACCACTAAGACTTGCATGGTAGATGTTCTACTTTATTATTTGTTCCTAGAGAATCCATTATAACAACTATTATTTGCTACTGAGATTGCAAATATACAGTATCCATGACCATAGATGAAGATTGCTAATAGTTGTGGAAGTGCTTCTCAAATCACCAGCTGTTTCACTTCATGCTTGCTGCTAGCAATTACAAGTGAGAAGCAATCTGTGTTTGGAGCAGTAGTTAAAAAGTGTGTGTGAGACAATAAGCAAGGTTGCCTGGCCAAAGAATGCAGGCTGCAGAGGTTCAGGAGCTACTACATGAAGGAAAAATGTAGTCAACACTATTGTAATGAATACAGTAGAACTTGGATAATTTTATACTGAACAATTTTATTTCATAAAGATTTGCTTTTAAGTGTTATGACATTGCAAAGCATCTCAAATACTGCAACTGTGTTAAAAACAAATATGAAACAATTTATCTCTGACCTTATCAGTCCACAGATAGTGTACTTATGGTAATAGCTTTTGTGTATAGAGGTTTGTGTCAGTTAATTTAAAAAAAAATTCTGTTATGAAATTATTCCTATTGTGTCAACTTAAAGACAACGTGTTGAACACTTGCTGCTTCATTTCCCAGGGCAAAGCCTAGCCAATCTGCCTGGTTTAAAACTTAAACAGAGCCTAGAAGTTAACTGGTAATCAGATTAATGAATGCATACCCCATGGCAACACCTCTAACAATCAAAGACTATTTGTCAACCGGTTAACATTCTCCTCTCACACAGTATAAATAAGAGCATAAGACATGGGGACAGAAATTACGCCATTCGGGCCACTGAGTCTGCTCTGCTATTCAATCATGGCTGAAAGTTTTTCAGCTTCACTCTCCCGCTTTCTTCCTGTAACCTTTGATCCCATTGACAATCTATCTCTGTCTTAAATATAGTCAATGACCTGGCCTCTACAGCCCTCTGTGGCAATAAATTCAACACTCTCTAGCTGAAGAAGGTTCTCCTTGTCTCTGTTCTAAAAAGCATTCCCTTTACTCTAAGGCTGTGCCCTCAGGTCCTAGTCTCTCCTACAAATGGAAACATCTTCCCAACATCCAATCTGTCCAGGCCATTCAGTATTCTGTAAGTTTCAATTAGATCTCCATCATCCTTCTAATCTCTATCAAGTACAGACCCAGAGTCCTCAAATGTTCCTCATATGTTAAGCCTTTCATTCCTGTGATCATTCCCATGTACCTCCTCTGGACTTGCTCCAGGGCCAGTACATCCTTCCTGAGGTATGGGTCCAAAAATTTCTCACAATAAATGTTGATTTTCCCATTAAATTGGTAATCTTGCAAATTGTCCTGCTGCGTGCAAGTATGGTATCAAATGACCTTGTAAAAACTGGACCCAATGAGAATCAGGGGTTATCTCTGTACGGTTGTAATCATACCTAACACAAAGAAGATGATTGTGGTTATTGGAGGTTAATCATCTCAGCTCCAGGACACCACTGCAGGAATTCCTCAGGGTGGTGTCCTAGGCAAAACCATCTTCAACTGCTACCTCAATTACCTTATTTCCACCATATGGTCAAAGGTGGGAATGCTCATTGATGATTGCACAACATTCAGTTCCATTTGTAAAGCCTCAGATACTGAAGCAGTCAGCTTCCATATGCAGCAAGAAGTCGACAACATCCAGGTTGGGGTGGTAAATGGCAAGTAACATTTGCATACAAGTGCCAGGCAATGACCATCTCCAACAAGAGAGAATAATACAATTGCCCCTTGATGTTCAATGGCAGTAACACCATTGAATCTCCCATAATCAACATCCAAGAGTTACATTAATCGGGAACTGAGCTGGACCGGTCATATAAATACAATTGCTACAAAAGCATGTCAGAAACTAAGAGTTCTGTGGCACTTAACTCTGCAGTGTCTCCCTAGTACCTCAGCAAAGCACAGATCAAGAGTGTTATGGGATACTTACCACTTGCCCAGATGAGTGCAACTCCTAAAATATTCAAGAAGCTTGACAGTTTGTACAATTTAAAAGATGCAAAGCAATGACTCATTAAGCGTAGAAACAGTGTACAGCGAAAGGGAAGGAAAGACAAAGTCAAAGGGGAGCGATAAAGAAAAAGAAACTGAGAAACTAAAGTATAAGAGAAAAAGACGGACCTATAGAAACAGACTGAATTGAATGGGGTGAGAGGAACACCGAAACAATAGAATCATAAAGGAGATGGAGACTGACAGGAGGAGGTGACAAACAGAGAATTGGGAAAAGATGAAAAAAAAACACAAATAGAAATGAATAGAATGGGAGAAACAGAAAGGAATGGTCCACCCACTTACTCACCCATTACGCTGTTGGGTTTGGCGCCAATCTTCCACCAAAATCGTAATGAGTGGTCGGGAGAATTCCCGCAGCAATTAATGGCGAGAGGAATGAAGGGCAACGGACAGGAATAGAAGAAAAGTAGATTTAATCAGTGACTCCGAAATTATAAATGAAGTAAAACACACAGAGAGTTGGACATACATGTCATTAAATCATGTTTCTAACACGGATTAATCAGACTTGGACTGATTGATTTACTTAGCGTTGCCGGGGATAAATGAGTCGACTCCAAGTTAATTAAAACCAACACAATTCCTGGAATCCTTTGCCATCATGTTCCTAAGGTAATAATAGCACTTGATGTTCTGATAAAAGTGGGAGGAGGTTGTTTTTATCTCAATAGGTAAACGTGGAAAACGCTGGAAAGTTGGGTTAAAGTACTTTGCAAATGACGAATAAACTGGAACGTGGTTAAATATTATATATCAGTAACGTAAAGAGGCCGTCCGTGCAATGTCAAACGCGTATAAACAAGATTAACTGAATAGCTTGCGTTGAAGGGCTGGGAGACAGGCTGCCGAAAGGCGGCGCTCCGGGTCCCTACATGGCCAGCTATTCGCTGCTACTGAGCTGCATGAGCTCCGACGGTACAAACACAGAGCAGCAGAACCGCGCAGAAACTGGCTTTGATTACCCGGGCAACTCGGCTACATGACACTGCGCCTCTCAGGCCACGCGATGCGCATCTGGCGATGATAAATAAATAAAGAGGCGTCCGATTACAGCCCGATCGGGTGACGCTGTTCACCAGCTTGAAGCATTCGGTGAGTCTGCACTTAGCCCCAGCACTCAGATTGGGGGAGCAGCAGAAAACAAAAGCGTCAGGAGGCAAGTTGGCCAAGTGTGAGTGATAGTCCGCGGGTCTGAAATACTCTCAGCGGGAGACTATCTCCTTCTCAACAGTGTGTATATATAGCGTATATATTCATAAACTATATATGTTTATAAAACACATTTATGAACTACGTATTAATCAACTGTATAAAACATTAAATATTCCGAAATAATATTCGGGATAATAATTTTGTAATGTCGAAACAGGCAATTTACAACTTTATACATGTTTAGATCCTTCTGCGGAGCTCAACTTTTCGGCATTTTGAATGGTTTAATTGAAGTTTAGTGATTCGTTTGGGTGTACTTTCAAAATGTTCGCATGTTCACTCCCGGTGCGAATTGTCCCAAGCTTTCGTACAAACTTGCTGTTGCGCTGAAGTATAGAAACAGCCAAGTGCGTCTAATTTTGACCACTTGTATTTGGGATTTGTCAAGATCGCCAAGTCGTTAGTGACTATGTCAGCTCGGCCTGGGCTGTCTGTGCCTCTCGGGCATTTCTGAGCTTTCAGCGGGAGGAGCACTTAGCAGTGTGTCACCGGACACCAAGAACACAGGCACGCTCACCAGCTTCCAATACAACGCACTAGGTAAAAAAAAGGATCTTGAGGACTTGCGTTAACTTGCATAAATCGACCTACAGTTAGACGTACATTTTGTAGTGTCAGCACCCTGATAGCATGTATAGACTTCATGGAATCGTACAATGTTTCAAGACACTGGAGGCTATTCGACCTGCCTGTGCTGTCTCTGAAGGAGCATTCACCTGTCTTTTCTAGCGGTGCAAGCCTTACCTTTTGGGATATTCATCTAATCTTCCTTCGAAAGTCTCAATTGAATCTGCCTCCATCCCCTCTCAGGCCTTGAACCTACCTCTACCACACTCTCAGCCACTAGTTTTGACTCAGTCATACAAGACTGAAACAAACCCTTCGGTCTAACTCATCCATGCCAACCAAGTTTCCCAAATGAAAAGTCCCACTTGCCCGTGTTTGGCCCACATCCCTCCCTATTCATATACCTGCCCAAATGTCTTTTAAATGTTATAACTGTACCTGCATCTACCACTTCCTTTGGCAGTTCAGTCCACATTCGAACCACCCTCTGTGTGAAAACAGTGTCTCTCAGGTCCCTTTTAAATCTTTCTCCTCTCACCTTAAAAATGTGCACCTTAGTTTTGAACTCACCCACCCTAGTGAAAAGACCTTTGCTATTCACCTTGTCGATGTCCCTCATGATTTTATAAACCCCTATAAGGTCTTCTGATCCTCAAGTTTTCCAACAATGGGAACAGTTTCTCCCTACCTGCTTTATCCTGACCCTTCATGATTTGAATATTTATATCAAATCACCTTTCAGCCTTCAGTCATCCAAGGAAAACAGACTCAACCTCTCCAAGCTTTTGAAGTAATTGATGTTCCTTATCCCTGGATCCATTCCCATCACCTTCTCAAGTGTGTTTACATTTTTCCAAAAGTGTTTGCTCAGAATATTCCTGTTGAAGCCAGACTGGTGGTTTATGTAGGCTTAACATGAATTTCTTGCTTTTGAATTCTATATTCTTGTTGATAAAGCCAGGATGCCATACGCTTTATTAACAGCTTTCTCAACCTTTCCTGCCACCTTCAATGATTTGTGCACATATATCTTCTGACCCAGTCAAATGGTTCCACTTGTGTTTTCGATGGCTGTGAGGAGTCGGTGTTCCATGTGTGTACAGATTGCACAAGCCCACAGCCCCTCTTTCATTCTTTAAGAGGACTACTATTTAATTTCTGGTTACACTTCAACCACATGCTTCTAATCTTTGGTCACCTGGTGCAGAGTGGGAGTGGGTAGATCAGAGGACCTCCTCGTGGACCTTCTCTGGCCCAGGTGGCTGTCAACAGGCCAGTGCAGTGGGTTGTGGAGGGGAATGTTATACCTAACTACTTGCTCAAACATTGTAACATCCACTCCCAGATGGCATTGGAAAGGCAGCATTGGATGTCCACTACCACTTTTGAGGCATTTTGAAGCAGTCTATCTTGGTCATGTCAACTTTCAACACTATATTGAATGCGCAACACATCAACATCAATATCCTTATTGAAAGCAAGTCTTTTGACACAACTTTCCCTTAACAAATTCGTGCTGAATTTCCTTAATTAAACCACATTTGCCAAGTGATTATTAATTTTGCCCCAAATTATCATTTCTAAAATCTTTCCCACCACCAAGGTTAGACTGATTGGTCTTCATTTGTTGGTGTCATCTTTACACTTTATTGAACTAGTGTGTCTTCAATCCACTGGCACCACCCTTCATTCTCAGAAACATTGGAAAATAACGACCAATGCTGTTAATGTTTCTTCTCTCACTTTTTTTCGGTATCATTAAGTTCTGTCATCAGTGAAAGCATCAGTGTGACACCATTACATGTGTAAAGGTGGCAATGCTGGTTTACAGTGGCTGCTGCACATGACTGTTTGATCAAGAAAAAAAAACTCTGCATTACTGCTTAAATGATCAGTACTGTGTTAAATGCTGATAGAAATTTTAGAGACTATCTTCTCTATTCTATAGGAAATAGTAAAATTAAAAGATATTTTCATTGATATCCCTAATTCTGTGACCTCATCGTCCAGGTCAAAACACTCCAAGATATCAAGACTTGTGATCTCCCATTTTGTTTTCTCCATCATTGACAGCCTTGCTTTCAGTTGTGTGCCCTCGAGCTCTGGATTTCCCAATCTAAACTTCTCTCGGTCCTGCAAGATGCGTCTGAAAACTGACCTCTTAGCCAAGCATCGGTAACCTGCCATCATGTTCTTTGGCTGTTATGAAGCTCCTTGCAATGTTGTACTTTGTTAAAGGCTGTACATAAATTCAGGTCATTTTTTTCATATTCTGAAGAAGTAGATTTTGCCATTTGCAAGATTAAAGTACAAATGGTTCTTTTCGTTGAATGAGTATGAAAGGAAGAGCCCATTAAGAGAATTGTATCATTCTAAAGAGAATGTGACACTTAGATTGGCAGGTATTATTTCAGAACTGATTAAAAAATCCAGTATTCAAATCAGCAACCTCGATACATGAGCTCTGTAAACTGATCCATGGTATTTTTAAGCTTGGAATGAAATATAGCACCTGCCCAATGTAACCTTTATCACTTCTAGGCCAATATTGCTCAATGCAGTAACCAAATAAACAAGACTGGCCTAAGAAAATGCTTTTTATCCAAGTAGTAAATAAGGTGGAAAATGGCAGCATTACTGTGATTGTCATTTGCATCCTGCTGAAGAAAGATGCCAATGTTAGAAAATGTTACATCCATCTGCGCTTCTGAAAGCAAAAATTGTTGCTAGGAGATAAGCTTACAATCAGCCGACTGCAATGAGTTGCCAATTCAAACCTTATTTTCATTTGAATCTAAATCATCATATATCATTGAAGGTTCAAAAAAGACTTTGAAAAAAGTATGCTCAGTAGGAACTTTTAGATCACTACTGAATGTAGTAATAAAGGAGTGTCTCACAGGTATTACCACAGATAGAAGACAAGTCCTTGTGTGTTTGGAAAACTAGTGGAAATTACATGTGTTACCATAAACTACTGTTTTTTTGCCATCTGTAGACATACAAAAATTTGGACTTTGATAGACTCCAAATTAGTCTTGTATACCCAAATGGTTTCTTGAAATCTGTCTGTGATCTTAACAACCAAAATGGGCAAACTTATGGGATATCTGTCCAGGTTACAGTTGTCTCTGAATGTAAAGTGTGTTTATAGCTCAAAAAGAAAACTTTTAATCTCTCCACAAATATACTTAGATTGAAATTATTCTTCAGTTGCATAACCACAATTCTTCATGAATCCACTGAGGATTTATGAAATATGAGAGGAGCAGATATCATAATCCAATGGTTGGCACATTTTTGATTTAGATTTTTTCTCCTCCACCTACTGTATTTTAAATTAATGGCCTTCTATTGCCAATTTCATCTACAGCTATGATACAAATGTTAAGCAGAGATATGCAGGAGATGTGTGTTACTGAACAAATTACAGTGGGTGCACCACATAACTCTGATAATTAGAAATAACAGTACTCTGCATATCTACTTAAATAATCAGTGCTTTGTTAAGTAAAATGGAAATTTTAGAAATTTACTGTTCTATAGGAAAAAACAAAACTAAAAGATATTTCAATTGATATTCCTAATTTCATGACCTCCTCGCCCAGCCCAAAATCTTGAAGATCCTGTACTTCTTGGGTAGTAACTTCCTTTATCCAGCTCTCTTGGTTGGAGGTGCTTTGGGGGTGTGAGGTGCTGTGGGTGTGAGGGAGATAATAAGTGGAGCCAAACATTTATTCACAGGAGCAAGCATTCTTTGTAGTTGATTCTTAATTAAATATTGCTGAAAATGACACATCTTGCCTCGGCTTTTCAACTCACAGTCTTCAGGACATCTGCGAGAATACCAATATAAAGAGAGGGTTTGATAAGAGGTGCTGTTTTGTTGGCAGATAGACTCTGATTGTCGGAAGTAATGCCATGGAAAATACTTCAGATGATGGCCAACAGTAAATTGTGATGTTTTGTTTAAATTTAAATCAGGCAAGTTGACTCTGATCAGTGTAAGCGTCGACCTGAAAAATAAACTAGAAAATAGCTGTCACCAATTTTGTTAAATTGAAACAAGCACAATGTGTGTATATGTTCTCTCTGTCTCCAAGCAAGAAGACTCTGTATAAGCTTCCAGTATGTGCAAGTCCTTTGCACTGTGAGCCCAATTGATATCGTAAATTGCTTGTCAGCATAATTCTTAGCACACTTGGGATTATTTGGCACATTATACCAAATCACAGAATCACATCTAATGTTGGACACTGTTTTGCATTTTTTAAGCAATGGCTGGTTGGACACAATGATTTGTTGTGACCAGCCAAATGAGTATGCTGTTTGATATGATCCACCAGTCTTTGGGATGTGTGACCTTTATATCTAGCATCACACCAGCATTGC